ATCTTGCATTAAATGTTTGCTTACTGAATCTGTGTTACGTGAAGTCTTTTGTGTAGTTCGTTTACTTTTATTTCTGACTTCAATCATAACCTAGCTATTTTTGTTCTCTTTTCGTCATTGTAGCTGCAGAGGCATTGTCTTTTTCTGAAAAGTAGGTGTACTTTCTCTGACACACGCATGCTTTGACTTGTGGATACGCGCTTGTCTATCTTTATTCTTTCTTCTCACAAATTTGATGACTTCGTGTGTTCTTCTATGAGTGTAGACAATATTTGATATCTTTATATGTGAATAGTGGACTTTAGACGCTTTTCAGTATTCTTCGTCTGCGTCTGGTAATGCATCTCAAATTTGAGTCTCTGTCTGAGAAGTAGACTGACTTTTCCTTCCGTCCGGTTAGTTGTGAAGATGGAAGACTTTAATTCCGTTTGGAACGTTTCTTCGTCTTGGGTTATCCATCGTCTAATACTTTGTTGACCTTCATCTGGTTGACCATTAAGTTTCATTTGATGTCTGTACGGACTTCATCTGGTGCTTAACAAACTTTTGTCTTGTTCTTGATTTAGCCTTGTTTGATACTTGTTTTGGCCTTTCGTCTGATACTTCAAGACTTCAACTGGTAGTACGCCTTGTCTTGTATTTGTTGTATTTTCGTTTAGCTTTTGATCAAGCTTAGTCTTGATGCTTGATCAACCATCATCTGATACTTTGTACAGCTCAACCAGGCTTCGTTTGATTTGACCATAGTACGTGTAATAACACGTACTTCATTTTTTCAGTTTTGTCTGTTCTTATATTTATCTAAAACATTAACACACATGTTAGAAATAACAATACATATTATATTTGTCATATTCAAAACCTTGTTGGAAATTTCTTCGTCTGACTTAACACAAAATAATAAGCACCAAATAGCTCATTTATCAACTCATCGACTGTCGGAATAGGAAAACTATACTCGATAGTTATTGCATTAAGAGCTCGATCATCAGTACAAACCCTCCATGACCCATCCTTTTTCTTAACCAAGATTATAAGAGAAGAAAAAGGACTTCTAATAGGCTGAATGATGCCTTCTCTCAACATTCCCTCCGCCAATATCTCAATTTCTTCTTTTTGACTATGAGGATACCTGTAAGGCTTAACTTTCATAGGATTAGAGCCTTCTAACAAGGGAATAAAATGATCATGTGATCTTGGAGGTGGTAAACTAGTAGGATTAGCAAAAATAGATCCATAAGTATGCAGTAAAAGAGCTAGTTCAGGTTCCATGTCCGCAAGAAAATCTAACAAAGGAAAAGAGTGTGAATTTTCTTCAACCAACTTCATACTACATACCTTAGCTATTGAATTGGTATGTATAATCCTTCTAATATGATGTAATTGTGCCTAAGCAAGAATCAAATCCTTATCTCCCTACAATGTAATAAATTTTCCATCCTTTAAGAACTTCAATTGTAATGCTTCAAAATCAACAATGTGAGAACTAGTGGTTTTTAACCAACTAGCTTCTAAAATCAAATCCGCACCAGATTCGCGAATGCCGAAAGCCCGCTTCGGGCCGGTGGCGACATTCATTCCCACAAAAGCTTCCCAAAAGAGGATATCAACAGAACTCCCATGATCTACCAACACGCGCTTCATATTATAACCTTTCACAATCGCATATATGATGATGGGATCATCCTCATGGGGAGCCACTCCTTCGTAATAAAAATCTGAGAACGTAATTTCGGGTTGGGGAGGTCTTCTAAATTTCGATATGGATAACATGGAACGAGCATAACTTTTTCGAGCAGCTAAGGTGATGCCTCCTCCTGCGAATCCCCTTGCTATGGTATTGAAGTCCCCGTGAATTTCCTTTTGGTGAACTTCAGCGTCCTTCACCGAGGTCCTCCTAGGGGGTGATCTCTCTTTCAAACTTTCGCTTTCAGTCCTCGTTCTGTCTCCATGACCACCTCGACCTACCCACCCCATCAAATTGCTCTCACCCTTTTTAAGGATGAACTTCTTTAGGTTTCCTTCCTTGATTAGACGTTCAATCTACCTCCCCAAAATGAAGCAATTTTATGTACTATGCCCATGAGCTCTATGGGACTTACACCAATCGGTCTTGAAAGGGCCAAGCTATCGATCAGTCTAAGCTGGGAACTCGAAAAGTGATGCATTATTAACATCATGCAAAACTTTACTCTTGGTCATGTTGAGTGGGGTGAACTTTTCTTGCTCGTCACCCCTTGTCCACCCTTTTCTCGATCGGCCTCTAGAATTCGACTATCTGGAGCCTCCATCTCCTGTGTTGTAATGATCTCTCCTTTTGTTCGAATCTGATCATGCGCGAAGGTGCTTATTTCCCTATTTTCCATTGGCGACCAACTCTTGATTTTCCACGGCCTTTTTGTTGATCTACCCTTACTCCATCTTTATGTGGCCTAATGCAAAAGCTCTTACCTCTGACATCGTTTTGCAATTTGCCCTTTCCAGTGCGACGTCGAAATCACCCGACCTCAAACCCTTTTGGAAAGCTATGACCGCCATCTTCTTGTCCAAGGATGTTATTCGCAAAGCAATTTCATTAAATCTCTGGAGGAATTCTTTCAAGGACTCTCCTCGTTGTTGCTTAAGATTGAACAAGTCTGACGTGATCAGTGGCTTTTTCTTATTCGTGGCGAATTGCGCCATGAATAATCAACTAAACATGTCGAAATCAGTGACTGACCGATCAGAACACTAAACCAATCCAGTTCCACCTTCTTCAATGTTCCCATAAACAACTTACAACAGACCCCCATGCTCCCTCCATAGATTAACATTTGAGCACAAAAGCCCGTTAGGTGTTGGCTAGGATCTTGTGTCCCATCAAACGGTTCCACTTGAGGTATCCTATGATCCCGTGGGATGGCTTCAGATTCGATTGCCTTTGAAAATGGTCTAAAATCCCTCGGGACTTCCATCATACTATCTTCTTCCATTGTCCAGAGATTGGTCGTGATTTTTGCTTGCATCTCATCTACTCGTTTTCGAATTTTTTCTTTCCCTTATTTAATGGCTTCCTCCCTCTCCCTAGCTCGAGCATTTTCTTCTCTTAAGCCGTAGATTAATGCCATCATCTCCTCCATGGTAGGGTGTTGCGCGTCCTAATTTGGTACGCCGCCTCTCGCCATTTTTTGTAACCTTTGTTCTCCTTCGAGTTTTTGTATTTCTTGAAGTTTTACCGCAGCCCCACGGTGGGCGCCAAAATGTTCCGGCCAAGGGGGAGTCTAGGATTCTTCTCCTAGGCCAAGCCTCCCAAGCCAGAGCATTTACGTGAAATCTGTGATTTGCCTTCCTAGCTCTAGGGTTTTGGGTCTTATACTTTCTTGTTCATGGGCCTCATGAGCGCGAAGATTTTCATGAAAGTTTTTATTTGGGAATATTTGATCATTAAAGATAGGATTTTACCCCTGATACGATCACCATTATTAAAGGCCCCCATCCCACGTTTCGCGGTGGGCTATTGTCTTGGAGATGGCGTCTCGGTATTTGCCTATCGATACTATAACGATAAGCTCTGTGGGAGTTCAATAAATGTTTCCCAAGTATGGTATTGGATTAATACCTATTTAGAGGGGTTAGATCAGATTTTGACCGAGACAGTATACTTGCCTTTCATCCCCAAGCCTGTAAGGCGTAGGGGCTCAGTTAGCCATGCTATCAGATTAATACCTATTTAGGGGGGTCAGATCGGATTCTGACCGAGACGGTACACTTGCCTTCCAGTCCCAAGCTTGTAAGGCGTAGGGGCTCAGTTAGTCATGGTATCGAATTAATACCTATTTAGGGGGTTAGATCGGATTCTGACCGAGACAGTACAATAACAAACTAAATATGCATCATGAAAAGAAAAGAAACAATATTACATTTTAATTATTTAGCAACATTTTCTTTCTTAAATTCTTACATTTGTTAAAATGTTACTATATATATTGAATACATAGGTTATTTTGTAACATTTTTTTGAAAAATGTTACTATAGATAGAGTAACATTTTTTATTTCAATATTATTCTTTCTAATTGTTTTAAAAATTAAAGTCTCATGTCGAGTAAAAAAAATGTCACATAAATTATTTTCAATATTTTTCATGAAAAATGTTAGTAACATTTTTTTTTATCTCAACATTATTCTTTCTAATTACTTATAAAATCAAAGTCTCCCATCGAGTAAAAAAAAATCTCTCATCTCTAATTATTACCCATAATTAAAGTCTCACATTGAATAAATGTATGACTCATAAAGAGTATATATAATCATATAGTTATATGTAAGATAAATAAACTTTGATATTTGATATATTATTAGTGGTGATTAATTAAGAATATCTTCGAATTTCTCTTAAAGAACTCCTAAGAGTTTAGTAGATATAATAATTGATAGCAATATTTAAATTAAAATTAATTAGTATTTAATAAATTTAACAAAGATTTAACAACATCATTAAAATATTACAAAAATATCATTTTGATAACATTTGAAAAATATTACTTAATTGTATAAAAATATTGTTTATATATAATTAATAATATGTTGTCAAAGGAAATTAGTAATATTTATACATAATTAGATAATATTTTTTAAATGCTACTAAAAAACTCTTTATGTTATAGTGAAAAATATAGATGACAAAATGTAAAAACGTTAATACATCATCACGTCGATATCAAAGAATCCATTGTCTTATACACTTCTCTCATTTAAATTTTTTATTTTCCTTTTTACCCTTTCAATTAGTAAAAGGTCATATACTTATTTGGCTTCTCGTAAACCAATTTGCATAGCTGACCAAAGAAACTCTTTTATTAAATATTTAAATACATAATAATTCTTTAAATACATAATATCTATAAAAGAAATACTAAAACAACAATATTATTTTCTCCTTCTTCAACAAATAATTGATATTATATATTTAATATCTAGTTGTGAACTAATTTTTCACGCCAATCGATCACTACTATATATATAGCAAAGCTACCATTGTACTATACTCCATTAGCTCCAACAAATCACACAGATTTCATAAAATCCAGAGCAATGAATTTGCAAGAAGTAAGTGAAGAAGACAAATTAAGCCAAGATTGTAAGGAGTTAGTTCTCTCTCTCCCTAGAGAGAAGGGTTGGATAACACCTTATCTCTATTTATACCAAAGCTTTTGGAATTCATCAACTGAAATCCAAGCCATAAAAAATTTTCAAAATCACTTCCAAGCCAAAGACAATGATGTTATCATTGCTAGTGTTCCAAAATCGGGCACCACTTGGTTGAAAGCCCTTACCTATGCCATTGTCAATCGCCAACATTTTCCTTCTTTAGAGAACCACCCACTACTTAATTACAATCCCCATCAACTTGTGCCTCCATTTGAATTTGTCCTTTATGATGATATTTATGGCCAAATACATGACTTATCCATTATGACTGAGCCAAGACTTTTTGGTACTCATATTCCATTCACTTCATTGGCCAAATCAATTAAAGAGAGTAATTGTAGAATAATTTATATTTGTAGGAACTTGTTAGACACCTTTGTGTCTACATGGACTTTCGTTGACAAAATTATGCCCGAGATTTTACCTACATTACCACTAGAGGAAGCTTTTGAAATGTATTGCAAGGGGGTAATTGGGTTTGGTCCATCTTGGAATCATATACTAGGTTATTGGGAAGAGAGTCTTGCTAGGCCAAATAAGGTTTTGTTCTTAAAGTATGAGGACCTTAAAGAAGATATCAATTTTAATGTGAGAAAAATAGCAGAATTTTTGGGTTGTCCTTTCACTCAAGAGGAAGAAAAAGATGGAGTGACTGAAAATATAATCAAATTGTGTAGCTTTGAGAAGATGAAGGAATTAAAGGTAAATAAATATGGAACAATGGGTGAAGGAAGGATAATTGAGAACAAGAACTTCTTTCGAAAGGCCGAAATAGGAGATTGGGTAAATTATCTTCCCCGTTCAATGGTTGAAAAATTATCCAAAATCATAGATGAAAAGTTAAGTGGATCAGGTTTATCATTTAGAGTGTACGACCTTAATTGATAGTGCAAGGTTGCCAACTATCATATTATTGGCATCCTTATCATATATAATAAGTAGCTAAATAACCGTGCATATGGCTAAATTACCATGTGTGGCACAAATGTTAGTGTCTTTTCTTTCTTATTAGAATAAAGAGGTGTAAAATGTATCAAAGACAAAATTGCTACCTCGATTATGATCATTTGGAATCAGCAGGATGGCAAGTGTGTATTTATGTTTTATGATTATATTTACTTCTTTTAAGGTCTTGTGTTAACATGGCTTCTTTATTTGTTTGTGGAATTCTGATATTCTAAATTAACATTTACCTTTGGCTAATGTATATGTTTCCTAATCTGGAATTATCACGAAGTGAAAAGTCATAAGCTGTGGAGTTTAAAAAAAAAAAAAAAAAAGATGGTAATATTACCAAAACTGTTACTATTCTACCTACTATATGAATTTCCTGGTAAATGACGTTAAACTCTTTCTACAATGAGAAATTAGTATTCAACCCTCTAAATTTTATCACCTTTGTAAGTAAAGATATTGAACTCTAATTTTTTCTCAATCAAGAAAAAAATATTGTAATACTAAATCTGAACAAAAAAAAAAGAATAAAAATATCAAAGAACCACTACTAACCTCTCCTTTTTCGTCAATCCGAATTTTATTATGTTTTAACATTTAGAAAAGTAAATAAAATTAATGAATGATTGGAATTTAACCTAAGGATTGGGATGTGTTGTTCATTAATAATTTAACGCTGATCTAATATATGGGACTGATTAAAAAATTAAAGTTTCAAAGAGTTTTGATCCCTTAAGTAGAATAGTTGTAAGATTTTACTCCTTTAAATTTTAATTAAACAATGTTTAATCCTTCAAATATTACAATTGTATAATTTTAATTCTTTAATTTTTAATTGAACAAATTTAATTTTTAAAATACTATCATTGTATAATTTTAATCTATAATTTTAATCTTTTAAATATCATAATTATATAAATCTTTTAAATATCATAAGTATATATTATTTAATACATTAATAAAAATTATAATGTTATTTTAAGTAAGTTAAAAATTATAAAATTATAATTGAAGAGTAAATTGTAATTCAATACTTGCCATACAAAATTTGTTTAATTAAAATTTAAAAAATTAAAATAATATAATTGTGATACTTAAATAATTAAAATTATTCAATTAGAATCTAAGGAACCATAATCCTAATTAAACCAAAAATTAATTAAAGATCAATTAAGGCAATATCATACTTCAATATGTTTATTTATCTGCGAAGAAAATAGTGCAGAGGGATTTGGATACCTTTGTCAAAATTAACATAAACAATCGAGGAAATTTGACCTAGTTTTCTAATAAAAAAGACACTCTTGATCATGGGGCTTACTTCGCAACTCTACTAAACCTTACAGAAGGCATCTTACGACTTAAATCTAACAGTTTTATCAGGTGGAATGAAACGGATAAAAAGCATTATTCTAAAAAGATAAGCACAAAGAAATGTGCAAACTGAACAAGTAATCTAGGCATTCAGGAGGCAAGGTTATACAATTCAGAGCTGTAAATGCAATCCAAAGATTTCAGGAAACCATGTGAATAATTAATAACACCAACAAACAAGTTAGCAAATCTTCTTCAGCATCAAACCATACTTAAGTGTAGTGGTGTGCTAATCCCTTAAGCATGCATGTAATTGCTAGTATTCATTGATTGGATGATTAATTTATTATTGTAAGGTTGGATAATTAATATGAATATCTACTGTTCGATTGGTGTTCCATGAAGTTAGGAGATTTATAACATAAAATCTATTCCCAAAAATTCAATATGAATTTTTTCTTTCAATTTTGGAGGCACCCCCTTAAATATTGGTTTATATGAGAGATGCACAGAAAAATAGGAAATGAAAAATAAATTAATTAATTAACATCACAGACTATTTTTTGCTTTAAAACGGCCACAGGTCACCCCAAATAGATCTTTTGGCCTGATGATGCAATGTAGGATTCTTGCTCCGTGTTACCACAATACGGTCATATGAACCCTCTGAGGCATCCCTTTTGGTGGACCTACACACATTCATTGTCACTTGTCTACCCCTTCTCACAGGCATGAAGACAATCCTGCCCCAGCCACCTCCAAGATCAGCACTCTCTCTTTCTTCTTCCTTTTCCTCCTCCTCGTCATTATCATCAGCACCGCTGTCAGTTTCCACCTCATCGGAATCGTAAGTTACCACGCTTACTGCTTCTTGAGGAATGACACTATTTTCCGGATCAACAGATTCATCAGTTACTGCATCAGCTTCTTCATGAGGGGTATCATCAGCTTGTTGCAACTTCAACCAGTCCTCTGAAAAATGAAGAATAATAAATAATAATGGAAATGAAATAGTCCATAATCTCAAAAGTCCTTTCATGTATACCATGAAAAGGAAGCTGGTTTAATATCAAATCTGACCATATATTTTGTTTCAAAGTATTTTAGAAGAAAGTAAGCATGGAGGCATGTAACAAGTACCGTAGTCAATTTCAAGATCCTCTGGATTTCTTTTTGCATGCTGCTCCTTCAGAGTCTCAAATTCCGTACCATCAAGGGGCCAAGGTTCCCTGGTACAAGGAATGAATTAAAAAAATTAGAGTTACGTAGGATGAATATACCTATGCCTCAAAGATATGAATTATGCCATTCAATGATCATGGTAGGAAGGATCAGAAACTGTTGCTTTGTGAATAGACATTGTGAGTCGCGTGACCTTAAGAAGAACTCTCGGCATATTTTGTTAATTTTGATATACTATCGGAGTAAATATTTTTACACTGTCAAGAAATTAAAAACCACTCTAAAAATGACTTTTAAAGTATTTATCACAAAAGTTAACAATATTACCATACATATCAATCGATGATTGAATAGCATCATGAAAAACCTGTACATTATCGATGCATTCTAATTAAATTCTTTTTGTTATTATATTATCTATATTGCTCTAGTTCAAACATGAAAGATTTAAATAAAACACTTGCCTTGGCCTTGGTCCTCGCCTGAAAACAACATAGGAAAATTTCTCATCTTCAAAGCCACGTAAAGGAACACCCTTTGAACGCTGTAATGATGAAATTTAACAGCAATAAATTTCTTATGTTAACCCTTGATATCACAGGAAAGGGAAGTGGGAATGTGGGAACATGATTCTTTCCAACACAAAAGGTAAAAATATGGATTAAGGAGAAACCTTGTAGGCACGTTGTGATGAAGTCCTTTCCAAACGCTGAACAAAATGACAATATTTTCCAGATTTTACCAGTGGACAAGTCCCATCATGAGGACACTGCATGAAGAAAATTTACCAATAAAGGAAAAATAGATAAGAATGGGACAGGCAGAAACAGAGGGAGAATGGGATTGGTAGAACTGCAAAATTGGAAAAGATGTCGAGTAAAAACGTAATATACTTACTGGCGCAACTACAAATGCACCAGCCTTCTGAGTGATCAAATCTTTACAAACTTCATTGTTCTTACGAGAAGATTTTCGGTATTTCTACAAAGGCAGCAAATTCCATGCTTTGTAAGAACAAAATATTAACAAAAAAACTTCACAATTGTGACGACAAAAGACAGAATACAAAGATTATTTGTCAGTTAAATTTTTTCTTAAAACTAGTAGTAAATTTACTCTTTCTTCCAGCCATAATATGTGAGATCTCATCTGAGCTATAATATTAGATCCATGAGGTGTCCCTGGTTCAACCAAAACCTACAAGAATTAAATTTCACATATGGAGATAACATTAGATAAAAGATTCAAATAATTAAGCATAACAGTAATTTATGAAATCAAAAATCCCCTCATTCATTTCTTTTAAAAAAAATTATTTTCTATAATAGACATTTTCCTTTTCTTCAACCACTCCTTTTCCTCTACCAATTACTTTTTTTACTTACAAAAAACGTTAAAACAACACCAAGCTAGTAAGTAATATAAATTATTTATAGGTAATCCTCGCTTTTACTAGACAATAACAGTACAAGCTAGAAATCGTACCAAAACATCCTGAGTTAGATCCCAAAGCTGGCGAACTATGGTAATTCGATCCTTTATTGATGGAATCTCTCCAAGAACATAGGACTTCAGCCAATAAAAAATGATTGCTTGCAATTAGCATCAATTTATGAAACACATAAATAATTTATAAGCCTAATATATGAAAAAATATAATATCTAACAAAAGCATAACCATTTCGGTGTTACAAAATAGGTAAATAGGGTAGTAGAATAAAATAATAAACTGAAAGAACAGAGAAAATTCAGCTGAACTATTTACTTTTTGTTTCAATCAACATGTAAAAATTAGATGGAGGAATAGAATAGCCAAGTTAGTTTATTATCTTAGTACATGAACCTTATAGAAATAGTTAATAATCCACTATGTTCAATAAATTAAGTAAACAATTAGACCTTCAAATCCATCTTATGTAGCCTGTAAATTAGAGTTCCACACATGAAACACTACGCAAAATGATGGGAACCATGGCTGTGTTGTTGGGTTGGAGGAGGATCAGTTGTTGAATCCAAGTCCAAGTAAACCAACCATGTGGAAGGTTTACTCCAGAAAGAGCAAAAAGACTTCAGGAACTGCCATGTATGGCAGTTACTGGTGGTTTATGGGTTGTGTAAGGCAGTCATTTGTAGAAGAAAAAGAAAACAGCTGTTTAGAGCAGTTTCTGTGAGAGGGGAGAGTTAGTTATGTTTATTTAATTATATATTGTAAATTTGTAATTGAGAAAAGGAGAGAATATGTGTGATGAATGTTAGCCTTTGAACAGACAGATATTCTCTGTTATGTTATCGGTTTAATTTTATCTTTTGGCACAAAATATTCTTTAATTTTAACTTTTGGCAACAGACATGATGTGGTTTGATACTTTGATCCGTTATTGGTTTCAGTTGATACTAGATAAGGATGTTGCTAAAACAATTTATTTTAGTACACTAACTCAGTCAGAAACAGATTAACTAAACCAATCCAACATGACAAATTTTAATTACCATGTTGATCCCTATTGTTTTGTGAATGATAGATTCCAAGTAATATTATAGAAAGATTGAGTAGTATGAAAAGAACTTTGGGTCTAAGCCTTGTATATTATTCAGCAAAAGTCTGGATCAATACAAGCAAGGGAAAATACAATGAGGTATTCAAGAGACCTCTTCTCTCCTATGATTCTATTATCCTCCTCCCCCCACTAACTCCCTTCCTTTTTCTATTTAAAGACCTAATCTGTTACAGTTCTGTCCCCCCTTCTATGCCTAGTGTAGACTCTTTTAACTATTGGTCTCCTATCAATACTCCCCCCTAAAAGTTTCACCTTGTCCTCAAGGTGAAAATCTGGAAAATGATGTTGAATGTCCTCAACAGTTTCCCATGAATTATCACAATCGGGGAGCTGCACCCACTTTACTAGCACTTCTGCGTGTCCTAGCTTGTTGTAAATTGACCCATTGACCCTCCCAAACAATCTCTTCCTTCTCCCCGTCACCTTCTTCCCCTATTTCACCATCCTCCACGATCATGATCTTAAGCATTTTGTTTTTGCATACATGTGTGGGGGCATATTTCTCATTACATGTAAAGCAAAGACCTTTTCTCCTCTTCTCATGATACTCCTCATCAGGCAATCGTCTTGAACCACTAGGAATTTTACTCCTTTCATCTACAATTGCTCGGTTTTGTATTCCCTCCTTATTTCCTCCATCATTAGATCGGAGCCTATTATTTCCACCAAACACATTTGATCCAAAATTACTGTGACCGTCCGTTGGTTGGTTTTTTCTCTGGTTTTCCCCACTACAATTTTGGAACTGGGTTCTGTGTTGGAAATACTCACCTTTCTTATTGCTGATCACATTCCTTTCATCAATCAGCAAAGCAATGTCCATCATTTCCTTCAATGAAGAAGGCCTATGAATCCTTACTTCTGCTCGAATCTCCTCCTTGAGACCATTAGCAAAAATCCCACTTAAGTATTGTGGCTGGGTGATCTTTAATGGGCCCGCCAATACCTCAAATTGCCTCCTATATTCCCTCACAGAACCTTCTTGCTTCAACCCTAGCAGAATTTCAAATGAGTTCTCCACCATTGTCAGTTGAAATCTTTTCAAGATTGCTTCTTTAAATTCTTCCCACGTAATATTCTCGGTGCAAGATTCCCACCATTCTAACCAAGAAAGGGCTTCTCCTTCCATTGCCACTAGAACAACTTCCATTTTTTCTAGTTCATTGATATTTCTCAAGCGAAAATATCTCTCAATTCTACCTATCCATCCCATTTCATCTTCTCCTTCTAAAATTTTTAATTCCATCTTCCTGATTTTCTGAGTAATCTCTACACTCATTGAATTGGAACTCTTGTTGCCTTCTTGGTTCAACTCCCCATGCGTGTTTACTCCAACATTAGCACTAGTACTGCTGTTTGTCCCATTTGCCCCTGAATTAGGGTTACCTTCACGATTACCCAACATCTCACAAATTCTTTGTAACAATCGATCTTCCATCTGTTGCAGTGAAGCTTTTGTTCTTCCCTCTGATTCATGAAGTTCCCTCTACAATGCTTCGATTCTTGCATCCATCTTCTGGCGAACCATGAATTTCGTAGATGGATCATTCTGCTCTGATACCAGTTGATAGATTCCAAGTAATATTATAGAAAGATTGAGTAGTATGAAAAGAACTTTGGGTCTAAGCCTTGTATATTATTCAGCAAAAGTCTGGATCAATACAAGCAAGGGAAAATACAATGAGGTATTCAAGAGACCTCTTCTCTCCTATGATTCTTTATCCTCCTCCCCCCACTAACTCCCTTCCTTTTTCTATTTAAAGACCTATTCTGTTACAGTTTTGTCCCCCCTTCTATGCCTAGTGTAGACTCTTAACTATTGGTCTCCTATCAGTGAACTTTACCTTTTAGTCCTTATAACTAAAACCATTTCATTTTAGTCTCTATACATACCATTTTTGTTTTCTTTTAATCCCGATAGTTTCACAAACATTAGATTTTAGTCCCTATAATAATAGATGACAAGAACTAAAAGGAAACAAATATGATATATGCAAGGACTAAAATGGAACACTTTTAACTATAAGAACTAAAAGGTAAAACTTATGAAAATATAAGAACCAAAAGGGTAATTAAACCTTAATTTTATTAGACGTCCATTTTTATCTTTGAACTAATTTCATATTTCTCCAGGCCTATTAATTGGTTGTTTTATTTTCATATGTTTGTGTACAAGCTAAATTGAAGAACAAACAACTCATTGCTAATGTGTAAAAATCCAAAATAATAAACTTAATTACTTCCATCTTGATTATATATAAAGATCAGGTGTGCAGGTTTAACACACATTCAAATAAACAATTCTTATATAGAACATTTAAAGAAATTGGGGGTTAAGATTGGGGTATGGCCATCGAGTGGTGACAACAGGAAAATGTTCAAATTTATTAATTTGGTTAGGAGGAATAGGCATTACTGTGGATGCCTATGTGTTGTATTTGGGGGGAGTTGATGCTACATTGGGTATTGCTTGGCTTGAAACTTTGGCCAAAGTGCTTATCAATTGGAGGGAGATGTCCATGGTCTTTAGTCAAGGGGAACATGTTAAGTTGCAAGGACAGGTTGGACAAGGAAGATTTTCCAATGTGATAGAAAACACTCTAAAAAAGGATGATCTTGCTGTAATTTGCAGAGAAATCGAAGGGCTGCCACCAAAAAAGGAGTTGATCAAACTATTAATCTTAAGCATGGGGCTGAACCAGTAAGTGAGACCTTATAGATACCCCCATCATCCACAAGTACTAAGGATGCTGTAGCAAGGTATTATTCGCCCCAGTTCTAGTTCATTCTCAAGTCCTGTAATTTTAGCTAATAAAGACTCAACATGGCACATGTGCATTGACTATAGAGCCTTGGATAAAATAACTGTTAGACAAGTACCCAATCCATGTTGTGGATGAATTGATAGATGAGTGGCATGGAGCCAAGTACTTCTCCAAATTGGATTTAAAATCTAGCTATCATCAAATTTGGGTAAAGGAAGAAGATGTGCCTGAAACAGCCTTCCATACTCATAAAGGCCATTATGAATTTTTAGTCATGTCCTTTGGGTTGACTAATGCACCTGTCACCTTCCAATCCATCATGAATCAAATTTTCAAGCCTTACTTGAGGAAGTTCGTGTTGGTTTTTATTTTTTTAATGATGTGCTGGTTTATAGTAATACCTACCTGGGAAACTCACTTAAATCACTTGGCTCTAGTATTCGGGGTGTTGAAGAAAACAAAATCTGTTGCCAAGGTGTAGCAGTTGATCCAACTAAGGTAAGAAGTGTTTTAGAATGACCAACCCCAACAAATGTGAAGGAAGTAAGAGGATTCTCGGGACGAACTGGATATTACAGAAAATTTATTGCTAATTATGGCAGAATAGAAAAACAATTGACTGAGCTGACCAAGATAACTTCAAATGGAAACAAGGAAGCAAAGCAGGTTTTTGACACTTTAAAAAGGGTGGTAACTACTTCACCAGTACTAGGTTATCCAAACTTTGATCTTCCATTTGAAATTGAGAGTGATGCTGGTGGTAAAAGTATTGGTGCAGTGTTGATGCAGCAAAAAAGTCCCATCGCACTTTTTAGTAAAGTTCTATCATTCCAAATCTGTTTATGAAAAAGAGTTGATGGCTTTGGTGTTAGCAATTCATCATTGGAGGTATTATTTATTGGGACAGAGATTTGTAGTTTATACCAACCAAAAAAGTTTGAAACACTTGCTGGAACAGCAAATTACCACAGCAAACCAGCAGTGTTGGATGGCCAAATAGTTGGGTTTTCATTTTGACAGTGTATAAGCCAGGAAAAGAAAATAGAGCGGATTCCTTATCTAGAGTGTATGAAGAATGTGAATTACAGGCTGTCATTTCTTCTCCACTGTGGCTGCAAGGAAGAAAGTTGCAAAGATCCAGCATTGGGGAAATTGATTGAAGAGTCGCATCAGAATCCTAATGTAAAACCAGGCTATTCCTTAAGCAAAGGCATTCTACTTTAAAGAGGAAGGTTGGTGATTCCTTTTGATTCGACTTTAATTCCCACTTTGACACAGGAGTATCATTCTTCTGCTACATGGTAATTAAGCCTTAATTTTATTATCGAGGTTCATTTTTATCTTTGAACTAATTTCATATTTTTCCAGGCCTATTAATGGGGTTGGCTTATTTTCATATCTTCACTGTACAAACTAAATTGAAGAACAAATAACTTGTTGCTAATATATGTAAAAATCCAAAAGAATAAACTTACAGCAATTACAAGGTCATGCCCTCTGTCTGATTTACCAATACTTTTAGAAAGTGCTTGAATGCTATCATAGCTATGAATAAGTGGCAAATTCTTGAGACCTGTGTAATAAACAGCAGAACAAAATTCAAAGTCACTTTTAAACATTTTCAGTTTTTCTCAGGAAGTTCAGAAGGGAAAGATTTCAATATCAATCTTAAACAGGAAAAATCACACATTATGCATAGCATTAGTTAAGAGGAAAATCCAGGAACATAGTACATGGTAAGGAATTTAGCAGTGACTGGAATGACTGTGTATTCAGCACAGCAGTGATTGGAATGGCTTAGGTACCACCACTAAAAATAAGCATTTAAATTTCCTAATGAAGAACCAAAGAGATCATGGCAGGTCAGACAATTTCTTAAACCTTCTAATTTCACTGGCAGTCTTCTATAAATAGATAAAACCAACCCATATCTTTTTTTTATTAAGTTTTCCTTTTCGAGTAAATTTACTTTAAAATGAGAAAGTATTACTTCCTCTAACAACTGCTTGAAAAGTGAAGTAATCAGAAAGTAGAGTATACCCTGTGAAGTTTCTTTCCTCAATGACCACTAAATAATCTAGAGGAATAATTTTGCAGAAAAAAATCTGCAGGGTCAACTGGCAGCATTGCTGTCAGTTGTTAGGTAATTACTGATTAATGATGCTGAATTCTTGAAAATTGACTTCCCAACTCAAATCACCCCTCAGTCATGACTCAACTGAATTACATACTGAAATTTCGAACAATTTAATAACCTTCATCTTTTCTTCACAAATGCAGGATAAATATTCAAACTAATCTCAATCAAGTCATATGCAAACACCTCTAAAAAAATTCAACAAGGATCATAATCCATCAATCAAAATCCTATATAAAAAGAAATGAATTTTATATATTCACAATAAAATAAGTCTATTATTTTATCTTCAGTGCACCAGAGAGATCACACTCATTATAAATATCAGTGCAGCATCCTCTGAAACATGGCCTTTGTCATGCATCCCATGAATCATGAGGTGCATGACCCAAATCACCAAAATTGACCTTAGTCCTAATGAAATAAAAATATATGAAACAAAAAAAAAAAAACATTGCAAATATATATTAATTAAGATAGGAGAATGCACACTGCCCCAATTTTTTATACAAATGCAAGTCTATACAATATTTTCTGTAGATATGTTCTGCAACTTTGGCAGAATAGGATTTGTTTTTGCAATCCAAAAATTGTTGACATTTATTCATTGAATAAACACCCAAACACTTAGGTGATGACCAAAGTAGTTCCCCAAGAGTACCAACACTATGTCAGCACCCTTTTGCATGCAACATTTCTATCAGTGTGGTGTACCCCATCCGGATAATTATGTTTCCAGTATAATATGATCTATTACTGATTACTGATCCCAGAATGCATTAGGACATATAAAGGTCTCAGCTCTCTAATCAAACACATTTTTTAAGCACTTAAACCGCACAAAATTCACTAATAATATACTAGTTTGTTTAAAAATAATGTCAAATGACGAGGAATTTGGTAATCAATAAACAATAAGCTAAATTACAGTTACATTCAATGATTTCAACATAACTGTCTAAATGTACATCTAAATGGGTCATCTTCCATTGCTTCAAATGGACATGCCAGGTAGGGTTGTTGCTCTTCTAGTTCTAGCTTTCTCCTAAAACCTAATATGCTTTAACCTCCCACACCTCAATTTGAAAGCATTAAGAAACTTATCTTGTTTAAAAATGTTAATCAACATTTACCTTGTATAAGGCTCCGACCTGCACGCTGCATTGACTGTGATGGTTCTATTAAATTAACTTTCTGTAAAGATTTTGGCCAAACTTCTTGCAGTGCCCTACATCATCAGATTTGAAAGGCAATGAAAAAAATTCAAGAACATAAATAAAACCTATAGTATCAAAGTTAACCATTTTCCAGAACAAAGTTCAAGAATTTTACCAGAAAGCTGAACCTGTCCCAGCACCAAAATCTAATACCCTAGATGGGGAGAAACCGGGAAGCCTTCTGCGAACCTAAAAAGATAGTTTTGTAGAGATTAACTTCAAGTCAACATTTTATTCAAGACTGAAAAGCTTTTTTTTCTGGGAACTCATTAAAATAAAAGGTTAAAGTGAACATAAGTCAAGGAAATACATGGTTCACAACAAAAACAATAGCCTTATCCCACATAGTTCACATCTGAAGGAAATTGAAACATAACGTATGGCAGATCCTACACCCACATGCAACTTGGAATTGGAAAATAAACAAAGAAAAAATACAAGATGAACAAGAATACACTCTAATCCCACATATTAGGCATTCAATTCATTATTCACTTTGACACATGAATTCACCCTGTTTGACTAAAGTTTGAATTTAGACCTAAAACATTTTGGCACAATTATTGCTTCCATATGCAAATCTATTCTCTTCTGACTCCATTACTCAATCTCATAAGAAAGTGCATTTGTCACAAATCCTTTCATTTGTGTCAACCGAAACAACCCCTTTCCTTGAAGAAACAATTTCATTAGAATCTTAATGTTTTCTTATATTTTCATGTATGCACTCAAAATCATTGTTCACACAGTCTTTTTCTCCTTTCATTTTTGTTCTAACAGGCTTCCTCTATTTACTTTGCAAAGGAAAGGATTAACATAAAATAAATAACTCAAAATCCATTTCACCTAGTGATGTCATAGCTTTCAACCCCAATTCTTTAATCATATATTCTCCCTTCTTTTGTTTATATTTTTTCCTTAGTTGGAATAAGTTTCTTTCCTACCTCCTTAAGTACTCTGTAACAAGCAGAGTAAACGGCAGGCATTCGAGAAGCCACATAAGCAATGGTCTCTTCATCTCTATATGTGAGACCAATGTCTCCATAAGAGCTTGTAATCTTCCAACGTTTTGATTGCTCAAAAGATTTTAAAGGGTCTTCAACTATCTTCTTCGCTGTGGTGGTTGCCAGCTGTAGATTGACATCCTTGATTTCATTGAAGGATTGAGACAATCTCAAGACTTTCCTCTTCATATATGGCTCCTCCTGCTCTATAATCACAAGACCACCATCAACAATTGCAATCACAGATATGAAAATATAGATATATATTGCATATAAGGAGAAAAAGTTAGCACAGAGAAAACAAAGAACCTTGAAGATATTTTTTAATGGCACGGCGAAGACGAACAGGGACAACAAGACAACGCTCAGATTGTTTGGCTGCATAGCGGAGAGTTTCAGGGGTCACAATTTTCTGGGCAGTTTCAGCTATTGTCTGGGTAGCCATGCTAACCCAGGATTTAACAAATCTCTTTTGTGGTCCAAGCAATCAGCTTCCTGTATCATTTTGAATTTAGTAAGCTACCAAAAGATTTTATAAACATAAAAAAAAAAAAAAAAAAAATTCTCATCCAAGCACCATAAAAATGAAAGCCAAACAAACTACACAAAATTAAAACCATTACCGTTTCTCATGCTAGTTCTTTTCATTTACAGATTTCATGTTTTTTAAGTAAGAAAACAAGGCTACAAACCAAATATCCATAAAGCAAATCTTTTCTCTCACAAACTTAGCAGCTCATATTTTTCTTCATTCTCTTTAGGTGTTTCAAATTTTTCAAGCACAGAGGTTGAAGTTGTCTAAATTAAACGGATGTAATTTTTTGCTACAAAATTGCAATAGAAAAAACTTCATTAATTCATCACATGAATTAAGCGTGAACCGATCACCAGCACACTGAGAATTTGATCAACAATCTAAGGTAGGCCACATCATTATTTATTTTTAGTTTTATTTTATTTCTTACCTTTTTATTTAAAATTTTACATTTTATCAAATGGATACCCATAATAAATGGGGCGGGTGACAGAGGACTACTAACCTCCCCCGCCCCATTGCCATCCCTACCCAGGAGCCACCCCAAAATTTTTCCTGTAACTGGAAGAGACTTGCAATAGTAATGGTAAAATATGAAGAATTAGCCCATACAAAAATCTTTTAAACATCAGAAATATACTACTAGCAATCGTGGTACATTTTGGGCTCAGGAAATGACTTGAATGCTATAGTATTTGATTAGCTACATTGCTACAATAATTTCAACTATAAAAGAACAGAATACAGGCCCCTAATGATTAAGGTGAATAAAAAGTAACATATTAACAAACATATCGTTATCAATATTAGCAAGTAACTATACAGGTTTAATACTATAGTAACACATGCGTAGAGAAGGGAAAGGTATTGAAACAGGATCTCAACCCGAACATTGACAGCATCATACTTAAGCAAAATAGATACAAAATCTTCAATCAGGAATTTTATCAAACAGTTTATGAGCAAAACTTGACCAGTAAAAATAAATGAACGAAACTACCTTCCTTCTTTTTCACTGCTTGTCACAGTGCTGCGGAGAAATAAAGGGTATGTTTGGATGGTAGAGGTGCATGTGTAGTGGGAAATAGCTCTAAAATTACTTCATATTTTGGGTTTAAGGGGTCAAGTAGTTGGAGGGGTTACCCCCCAAATTCAATAAGGATAATCAAAATTTAAGATAGAAATGCAATGCAATTCAGACAACAAATATAACCAAATACACGTGGGTTTCTCACCCTCAATTGTTCACAGCATCGAAACTGAGGTTTCTCGGAGAACCCAGAAGAAAAAAGACTACCTTTAGTTTGGGGAGAGAAAAACACAACAAGTGGCATGAAGAAGATGATGGAGCCAAAGGGCGGGGATGCTGCTAGGTGTGGCGGAAAGAACGAAAACTGATAAATCCCTCATATAATGATTTGCTACAAGTACGTCAGTGCTTTTGTTTTCAAAGTAATACATGTACGTGGTTATTTATAGAGAATATAAAATAAAATAAAAAATTTTAAAAAAAATTAAAAAATGAAAGATATAATGATTTGCTAAAAAAATAAATAGAGATAAAAATGATTGCAAATTCTATTAAAGATTATTATTGTTATTTTTATTATTAATGAGGTTGAAATATTTCATGTTTTTATTTATTTTTGTAAAAATAAAAAAATTTGAGAATAATTTTGTGTATCAACAATGTGAAAGAAAATGAGGTTTTAGTGAGATAGAAAGTGAGAGATGAGAAAAAAAAAAGTATGAGTAGTGAAAATTTTTTTATTTACAATAAAAATGTAACATTGACAACTACTTAACGAGGTTAAAAGACTAAAATGTAAAAATAAAAATTTAGATAAAATAAATGATTTGATTTTTTTATGAATTTTTTGAAGGGAAAATGTTTCATTAGAAATGAAAACTAAAAGTAATTAGGAGAGAAAATATCTCATATAAATTATTATTATTATTAAATTAAATATTTTAAAAATTTATCTTATGTTACTATTTGAACCAATTGATTAGCTCATATTTATGTTCATAATTCACTTGATTTTCAAGATATTGGACACACCATGGTTGATACACAACATTAGGTGTAATCAATGTCGCCACCGGCCCGAAACGGGCTTTCGGCATTCGCGAAGGATGGTTGGACTCTTTTATTTGTTTAAAAATATGGATTGCTAGAATGACTTATTCTCAAACTGAGACCTCGTCAAACGAGCAATTTTATTAAAAGGCTCACCAATCCATGTTAATCCCAAGCGGGACCCTCCATGGATTAGCGGTTTTCATAAAAAGGAAGGGTTCATGGAGTCGCCACCAATGTTTTACTCAAAACATTGGAAAAAGAGGTTTAAGGCAATCGATTCAAAAATCGACTTCGGCCATGACAACCAGAGTCGGGTAAGGGAGTCGGTTACGCGTGGGGAAGGTGTTAGCACCCCACAGCGCCCCTTTCGGGTTCCCTATGACAGATTATTTAAAAATAATAGTGCGAAATTACTAAATTACCCCTATTTATTCTAAGCAATTATAAATTAACTATCTACATGATGACAGTTTAAATATGTACACACAGAAAGCGGTAAAAGAAGGGACTTTAAAGAGATAAACCTTTGAAGCGTGCTTTCTTATATATCTTGACAGAAATTGGGAAGCGTTTTGGCGTTCCCTCCCTCTACAAGACCGCTCGCTCCCTCCTATAAAATTTTAACTATGGAAATCCGGAGGATTTCCCTTCGACTAGGTTCGAGACTCAAGCAAATGGCTCGTGACTCAAGAACTTCGTCGGATCAACTCTCCGAGTGATTTCTAGGCAGAGCACTGCTCAAAAAAACCCAGAATACTCAAGAAGAGGGTTAAAACTCAGTGTAAAAGTGTAGAATGACGTCCAATTGACGTCATATTTATAGGGATGAGGCGCAATACGGCCTCTGGGGGTCAATACGGTCCGTATTGAAGTTTTGAACTACAATACGGCCGTATTGAATTCAGTACGGCCGTATTGAAGTTCAAAAAACTTCAATACGGCCGTATTGAGTTCAGTGCGGCCGTATTGTAGTTTAAAATGTTCAATACGGCCGTACTGAACTTTTGGGAGGCCGTATTGGGCTTCATTCCCTCCACTTTCTTATTTTTTGCTACTCTAAGACCTCTAAACCTACAGATTGTCGTCCTAGGGTCTTCCAGGAGTCCTTCCGGCTGACTTTCCTTTGGTCTTCGAGAGTCTTTGAGTCTTATTTCCGACCCGGACAATTTTAGGGGTCTACAATCAATTCCTTCAAAGTCATCTGACGATTATCCATATTTTTAATTTTATAATTTTCATAATTATGAGAATGAAAATCAAAAATAAAAGGATCAACAAAAGTAAGATTAACAATTATAGGACTGGTAACTACACTACTATTATCCCTAACTTTTAACCTATGAAGTGTTCTTTCTATCTCTTGATCCAAATCATATGAAACTCCAGGATTAGATCTAGTCATACATTACGGAACACATACAAGGTATATAATAACTACACAACTACAGAATTGAAAAATCAACAAGAAGTCAAAGTCAATAGAAAAGTCAAATATACATCTGACAAGTCTTATAACATGCAAAATGCTACGAAATGAATTTTAAAAAATATTTTAACACCAGAACATCCTTTCATCTCATATTTCCTATTTTTTTGTAATTTTTTTCATAATTTTTAAAAATGTCAAAAACACAAAATAATTGAAAAAGTGATCTAAACGAAGGAATTTGGCAAAAATGACCCATAATGCCCATATCACTTTGTGATAAGACGCCTTGATGTATGAATTTTCTACACCTTCTAGCAAAATTTCAACCCAATCAGAGCTACTTCAACTAAATGACCAAAATACCCTTGTCAAAAGAATTTAGAAACTCCTAGAATATGAAGGGATTTGGCAATTCTAAGGCTAGCTTACCACCAAAAGAGGTAAGTTTGCTCATAATCACGCTTTACCTTAGAAGACCAAATTTCACCTTAGTCTGACAAGAAATGAAAATTTTGGCTAAGGTCTAGAGACAAAAAATAGAAACAACTTTGATGTCTTCTACTCCTATGATTTCTACTACTCCTCTATTTTCCTTTGTTTCCATCCTTTGTTTTAGCAACCTACTTGTAATGTTAGAGACCAAAATAAGGACAGAAAGAAAATGGAGATAAATATAAAGATGGATATATAAATAGAAAAAAAATCAAATTATTAATACTCGACACAAAGGTTAATAGATATAGAAACAATTAATAGGCGTGATAAAGTCAGGACACAATGACTTGTGTCCCCGGCAACGATGCTATTTTGATTTGCATCACATTTCATTTGCATCTCTTACTTCCTAGAACTTATGACGTAGAGTTTTTAGGCTAAGCACTTGCTTCACATATGACTTTCTATTTAAGTTCAGTACTTACCTGGCACAAGTTACATTTTCATTTGTATAAGCCCAGTATCTACCTGGCGTGATCCATCGACCAACTTAGCACAAGCATTTGGTCGATCCAATATCAGCATTAGATCGATCTTGCACCAGTATTCAGTCAATCTAGCATAAACATTTAATTAATCCAACACCAACATTTGATTGAATTGGCACCAACATTCAATCCATCCAGTACAAGCATTCAGCATTAGCATTTGGTCGATCCAACACAAGTATTCGACCACTCCAGCATAAGCATTTAGCTGATCAAGCACAAGCATTCAGTCGATTCAGCACAAGCATTCGGTCGATCCAACACAACCATTCAACCACTCCAGCACAAGCATTCAGCATTAGCATTCGGTCTATCCAACACAAGCATTCAACCACTCCAGCATAAGCATTCAACCATTCAGCATTAGCATTCGATCGATCCAGCACAAGCATTTGATCACTCCAGTACAAGCATTCAACATTAGCATTCGGTCGATCTAGCACAAGCATTTGACCACTCCAGTACAAGCATTCAACATTAGCATTTGGTCAATCTAGCACAAGCATTCGACCACCCCAATACAAGCATTCAACATTAGCATTTGGTCGATCCAGCACAAGCATTCGACTACTCTAATACAAGCATTCAACATTAGCATTCGGTCGATCTATCACAAGCATTCAACCACTCCAGTACAAGCATTCAACATTAGCATTCAGTTGATCTAGCACTAGCACTTGACGATCCCAACACAAGGGCTATGTCTCGGGTAGCTGGATAAAATTAATTCAATGATATAGCACGTGAAGCTGCACCGCTTGGCACCCCTGGGGGGACAACACATGCTAAGCAACCGATCAGGATAAATACAACTTTCCATGCTAAGAATAATTCCAATGCTCATGCAACTTCAACTGCTATTTTAGTTGTTGTCAAAAATGTAAACACTATTGTAGCTACTAATGAAGCTCAACAAATTGTAGTTGTTGATCCGGCTGTAGTTAAGGATTGCCATCATGATGATAATTCACTTGAAGGCATACCCTCTTTGGAAGACATTTCAAATGACTCAAAACAGAACTGCTCGGATGATGCAACAGCTATGGTACGTCCAGTTGATGCAACTGATGTTTTGGCTTCAAAGGCAGCCACGAAAACTACAACAACTACTGCAAATATGACCAATATCGTTGGTGAAGCAGTTTATTCAGCTGCACCAAGTTCAACAGTTGCGTCTGGTCCTAAACAGGGACGCATATCTGCACCTGCATCAGCAACTCCAATAATAGTTGCTAATATATAAGAGTCTTCGAACAATCAAAGCTGTGATGTGGAAACCAATCCAGAGACTGCATCAAGTGATGAACCACCCCCACCTAATCCATATAAGGCTTTCAAGCATCGCAGGGCTCGTGAGGACTGGCCTACTTGTGCTGAAATTGCAGACGCACATAAAAAATATAATGCCTATAAGCTAAGGTCTAGAACAAAGGCTACTAAGGCTACTAAGTCCTCTAAATTTTCTTAATTTTTAGAAATTTAGGGGGTTTTAGTCGTGTGTATATAGCTTGACAGATATGGTTTTGGGCTATGCCTCTAGATTGGCATTGATAGCATTTGACTTTTTGCTTTGTGGGTTTTGGTTTGGTCCCCCCATGTGTACTTTTTCTTTCTTTTATTCTTTTAGTCCATGATGATATGCTGCAGATGATTGGTGTGGGATTGAGGTGCTAACCTAATTAGGATCTCCTTTCCACATGGTGATGCATTAGCATATCCACCCCTTTTTCGAAAAAAAAAGGAAAGCTACTAACTAATACAGTTGTACAGATTTTATGACTTTTTATTATATCCCTTTACACTAATAGATGATAGATCGTGAGTTGCATGCATGAATTGTTGTATTGAATGAGAGAATTTGGAGTTGTTATGTTTTTTTGAGTTATTGTGTTTGTTCTTCGATTCATGCAAGTTTTATGGACTTTCTTGCTCAAAGC